TACAGATCTCATATTATGCCGGTTTTAGCAAAGTGGTGTGTCATTAACACTGAGCTGGCAGTAAATCGGGATGAGTCGGACGCTACGTGGATGACGGAGGGGAGGGTGGGGAGGGGCTTTGGTTTATTCAGGCCGGATAGACGTTTTGAGACGAGTGAAAAGAGTAGACCGTTTAGAAAATTCTCTCTCGTAGTTTTGCGGTGCAGCGCATTCGAAACAGCGGCTTTATTCGCTATAATGAAGGGGATAGGAAACGACTAACGAGCAGCGCAACAACAATGAAGCCGGCAGATTCGCAATGGAATTACATGCGTTCGATGTGATACGTCAACTTGTAGTTCTGTTTCGCGACATACATATATGCTTACATACATACATACACATTTTTATATGTGGTGTGTGTGTGTGTGTGTGTGTGTGGTGTATGTGTATGTATCGCATTTTAGGAAATCCCAGTTCGGTGAATCGACGTTCCGTATTATAGCACGAAAATATCTCATTTTCTCTCTCTTTTTCCCCTTCTTATCATATAATAGTTCTAGGATAAATCAGTTTTCCCAGGATACAGGAAAATGCCGAAGATATGTACATGTGGAAGAGACACTTTGCTCTACTTCTGCAGCTTCAGAATATACATTGTATCAGATTACGCGAGAGACGCCTTCATTTTATTACATAAATATAGGACCGAAACAAGCCGCGCCTGCGAGGAAATCTTTCCCGAGCTTTGCGCTAAATGATTCTCTCGTCGTCGATTACAGCGATAACAATCTTCGCTCGATTGTTCGTAGCATAGAGGCTCTTATACCCTTAAGTCCTATCGTTCCCGAGATAATATTTTCATACACCAAAATAACGTTAATGCCCATGTGTACACCGCGATTGTTAGCTCCGAGTTTCGAAAGTAGATCCCGAGTCGCAATACGCTACAATATAGAGGGTGAAAAAGATAAAATCGAGTCGGATCCTTAAAATCAACGACTACATCGACGCAAGGTACTTGGCTTTGTACGACTTTGTATTGCACTTTGTAGCTAGCGCAAACTTAGGTCTGTGAATCTTACGAATTATTATTTTTGGTCTCGTTTAGGTCATCGTCATCGTGCGACGCATAGGTAATTAAGATATAAATCATCAAAGTCATTGCGAAATTCTCAGTCTTTATCAAAGAAGATCTTTATAATCGATGGATATTGTAGAGACAGTCGCGAACCTAATAACGAAAATATAAAAAGGAGCAAAGGGATTCAACGGTCGTCATAATGGCGATTAAAACAAACCGTCTCATTCGCGACGAATTAGTAATTGCCTCATATTGATATCATATCTTACAATCATGTGTCATTCTCGAGCTTACATCTTTTTTTTTATGCCTTATGCTTTCACGTTAATCGAATAACATTAAATGTGATGCACACGTTTCAAACCGAGAAGTTGAAAAGCGCGAGTGAACTCGTGAGAAATCATCTCGATATTCGAGTGTCCAGCACTCCCATCGTCGAGATTCGCAAATCGATAAGGAAACGCAATGAAAGAGGACAGAGGTGATATGATACAATACTTTAAAAAAGCGTGTATATCACAACAGAAGGAACAAAGTGCGAAATTCGAAGTTTCCGCTACTGCATTACAAGAAACGCTCATTACATTCGTAATTGAAACGCACTTTTAAGTAGCAGATAGCGATGATGATGATGATGATGATGATGATGATGATTGGAAAGAGACGATAACGATAACGATGACGATGACGATGACGATATCCGTTCAAACGACCATCAATACGTGATGCGAACATTCGTGTGAACGTCGCAACGTGCTTTACCGGCAAGCACGCTCAACAGATCTTACATCTTTTGTCCGCTGCCGATCATTTAGATCTACAAAAATGGATCGATAAATGACGATTATTATTATCGCCTTATCCTTAAGCTTCTAATATCTGCGCACAGTATTACGTACTCGGTGGGCTTTACGTCGCGCGCGATGCTTGCTCAAGAACACTTCTACTCCCGCACTGGGTTTAACGTGTACAAACACCACGGAGCAAGCTTCTTCCCCTTAATCCTTTCATTTCTTTCGCTTGAAACGTAACTCAGGCTTGTACCGTGCTTGTAGAACACTCGCATTTCTCTGTTGGATGTTAATTTGCGTTAATATATATAATATATATTTATATATATATAAATATAGTCAACCGCCATTTGGAAACTATTTGTTCTTCGCCTTAATAAGTTAGGAAGCTTTGTGAAGGCAATGATGTGTCGTATAAAGAAAGAGAGAAGGATGAAGGGATCACGTTAAAGAAAAAAGGGAAAAATCGAAAAAAAAAATATGGGACAAGGAAGACACTTTTTGCATCGCACGATTCCACATCGATCAACCGCAAATTTTAATCACAATGTGAAATTATTTTATCGTTTGCGACGCATTATGCATCATATCGTGCTAGATTTTTGCGTTTAGAGAGGAAAGACGGCGAAAGCAACGATAACGGATAATCGCAATGATAATAATGATAATGATAGCATGAAGATGATAATGATCTCTCGCAATAATAATAGCGACTGTAATAGTAATAGTAGCAGTAGTTGTAATAGTAGTAGTAGTAGAGTAATAATGATAATATAATTATTAATAATAATATAATAATAATCGTCATAAACTCTGTAATATTTAATACATTGTTTGTTCATATGGACTAGATACAGCTCTCTCTTTCTCTCTCTCTCTCTCTCTCTCTCTCTCTCTCTCTCTCTCTCTCAGAGCGATCGACACGCTCTAGCTTTCTTTCTCTTATTGTTGTCTTGATCCCTGTGCTCTAAAATTAGCGGGGATATGATGTGATCAGTCAAGTACATCGATGACAAACCAGAGCCACGTATTTTTAATATCGTGATGAGCAAACACCATATAATGCAAATATCAATCGCGTTGCGCATTCTTAATTTAACGTAACTTCGGCATCAGCGAGGAATAGATCATATTTTTTGGAAATACTAATTATGAGTACACATTGCACCCTGAATTGCTTGCGAAACGATTGCTAAGCAGATCTGACTTCAATTTTGCAGAAACTGTTAATTGTTAACTATTGTTCTTTTTAAGGTACGTCACATCTATATCATATTAAAACGCAACGGTTTTCCAAAGAAAAAAAATCAGATCTCTCAAATCGTAAGAAAATTTTTGTGTATCAATAAAATAATTAGCTAGAAATAATACATAGTATAGAAAAAAAGTTTGTCGAAAAACAAGTTCCATGCGCACATGTCGCCTAGCTGCGCCACTACGACCACCAGAACGGATTTGGTTTTATCTGCCCGCGTTTGTACGTCTCATCTTGCGTATATAAACGCATCTTGAATTCCCTGCCTCTTTCGAGCGGTAGCGATTTATCAACAAAGGCTACAACACTTGGAAGCGTCTCCGAGATGAATGTGGCACACGGTAGGCATACCAGTGCAACCCTTTCCGACGATGCTCTCCTGCACAAGATGTGCGAGGCCTAGATTCTGATTGATATCACCGTCGCTACCGCGATGCTGCTTCGTTGCGTCACACCATTGACGACGTTCTCGCCACTTGTCTTCGGCCAGCAACATCGATTTAGGCGACGGTGGACTTACGCGATCGCGAGTGATATTGCCGCACGAGCGAGCTTTATAGAGACGCCCTTTGCCAAAGATACCTGGCAGTGGTACGCAAAGCTTCTTGTGTACAGCGAAATAACGGCTCAATAACCGTATCTTCCTATTCTTACATTCATTTCGATTCATCGAGCCATTACCGCGATTCTCCTTGTCGTTGCATGTCGCTTGATTCGTGCACTTATAATCACCGCGCCGCTCATCGCTGGCACCGCTGACTGTCTGACAATCGTCCGATTGCCATTGGCAGCCATTACCTTTCCCATCAGGACTGCGAGCGGATTGCTTCGAGCCTTGCGATATCAAGGATTTACCGGCGCTGAGCGACCAGCTCTGCAGCAATCTCGCTCCAAGACCTTTCGCTTTCTGCACCGTAGTGGTTGCCACTTGAGACACAGGTGGAACAACATTGTGCTGAGAAGCCATACTATTCTGTGATACCGATGACGATGACGACGATGATGAAACGTTCTGTGTGCCAATTACAGTCGAATTGCGTGACACGTGATAATGATTGTGACAGGATGAGGGTGCTTCAGCCTCCTGGACCTCGGTAATACGATTCAACGATTGGCTCTCACGTAATCGCGTTTCGCCGGTTCTTCTCCTACAGGCACGATGTCTCCTGCCAAACATTACCTGGTTCTCGGTGCACCGATGCTGCCCTCCTCCGTTCGTTGTACTCGTATTTGTCGTATTAGTGCCGCTACCACTGCCGTTTCGATTGCTCTCGGTTGTCGTCGGCCTGTCCGTTGTCGTATGCTCACCGTTGCTCACTCCGCTTCCCCCACCGCTGACTCCACCTCGTCCGCCACCACTTCCTCCTGGATCTTGTGAATCGCTCGAGTCGTCATGACTATCGCGTCTCGGAGGTAAGGGTTTCCCTGTGGACGCGCCGAGTTTATGCGCTCTTTTCTTTCTGCTCTCATTGTCATCATCACTGGCGTCGGAACTCGAGCAGGAGGTTGTGCGCGTCTTGTGGAACTTACTTCTCCGTTGCTCATACGTTGTTCGCCTAACGACGCGACATTTAGTCGAACCCCCACATTCTGTGGAATTTATCGATGCCTGTATGCCATCGCCATCCTCTAGGATTTCATTGAGCGTTAATGGCGTTGTGGATGAGTTACCGCTAGGTGACGGCATCGTCTTGTACTTAGGTGTCAGCGTCACTTGATTGTCACTGATCGGATGAAGAGGTATCGAGATGGTCGACGATTCGTGTAGAATTGTAGTAGTAGTCGTCGTCGTTGCCATCGTTGTCGTAGATACATCGGACGGTTTGGAAGGAACCGACTGGGATTCCGTGAGCGGTATACTAAACCGATGATGCTGAGAACCCATTCTCCATTTGTTCGCTGGTATCGGTCCAGCAGATTTTAGACACTCCGTCACAGATTTAGGTCTGGCTTCCGTGCTTGTAGCTTTTCTAGCTGCCCATCCGACGGTCGACGGAGAGGTCGTGTTGCTCAATCGGTTTTTTATATTTTCGTCGCACGTCATGGTGATCCGCGGCGATGCAGGCAATTTTTCCTGTGCCTTATCCATTTGAGCTTTATCTGATCTTTTCTGTGCTAGTGATGCTTTGTTATCCTTTTCGTTTCTTGAAATCTGTTTCAGTCTTTCTCCCCTGTGCGATGATTCGGCGACGGAATCCTCTTTTTGGTGCGGATGCCGTTGACTCGGCACGGGCTTCGTGCCACTGTGTTTTTCTGGAAGTTGTGATAGCCGCTCCTGCAGAATATGCGAGAGCTTCCCTTCGGAACGGGAACCGCGACGGTTAAAGGAATTTAGCGCTGAATTACTACCGTGCTCGTCTCGGCCAGAGCATATATCATCCTCGTCTTCCTCTTCTTGAACAATGCTGCACTTGCGAGTGCGCACGTTCTGCAATAAGAATAAACATTTTTGTTTCTTATTTAACGGTAAACGATATTTTATGTATTTATTTTAATGTTACATTCGGTCACGTCGATATTTTTTTTAAGCACTGAACATGTAATACACACTTGCGGTACATCACCAGGTGTACGTGGCACGGTCAATAGAGACTGGTTTGTAGTACTCAGAGAATTCTCATTTGTGCATAGATTTGTTGTCAGATTATCCTGTCGGCTGTATAAAATTAACACATATTGGTACGTTAGTGATTTCATTAAAGATGTTGTAGCATAAACATTTGGATTTAGCATATCTCATAAGTGAGTCATCTACAACAGCAGTAATAGATGATTCAGTATATAAAACATACCTTGAAGAAACATTTAAAGCTTCCGGCCGAGTTTTCTGCATCTCTTCTTGTCGATGAACGCGCAAATTTCTCTCAGCTAGCAGGAAATACGTCGCGGTGATATGATTATATTCATTTTTGTCGAGTGCGCTGTAAGAAGAACCATGATGAAAATCGCCAGTCAAACGTCGCGCCAATGACGCATATTTAAAGTATACTAACACGCAAACAGGCACGATCAAAAGGGTCAAATATCTTCTTAATGTCTACTCACTCCAATATTTCTTCCTTGGTGGCGATTTTACCGTTAACCATTTTGGTAATTATGAAATTGTGATGCTCATCGGAGACTTGTTGACGGGATACGAGCGGCAGCGTCTCCGTCGTGTCCAAGTCGGAACCAATCGCCAACCATGGATCTGCGGCAATCTCTTCGAGAGACGCTCTTCCTTCGGGTTCTCGTACGAGCATCTTTGCGATCAGTCGCTTGCAACCGTCGGACACATGCGACGGGATCGAATACTTACAGTCCATAATCATCGTTAACGTTTCGCTGTCATTCGCCTCTTGAAATGGCGCTTGACCGCATACTAACATGTACAGTATTACACCTAAGGACCAGACATCTACAACAAATTGAAGCGACAAACGTAGTCAAAGTGAGTATAAAAATTTCACTTTCACATCTTAAGCGAGAACTCTTTCTCTCAGGTTTATAGAGTTCATTGCTTCTTAGCGGAACTTTTAACAAAGATCGTTAACTTTAAAGTTAACTCTCTATTATTATAGTTAGAATTTAGAGCTCATTAAATAGATAATAGATTCTTAATAACTTGGGTCATCTTTACTCTTAATCGCAATTAATTAATGAGCTTACCTACTGCGGGGGCATCATAACTATCGCCCAGAAGTATCTCTGGAGCGGAGTACGCTAATGAGCCGCACGAAGTCTCAAGTTTCTGACCAGGACAGAATCTATTGCTAAACCCAAAGTCCGTAAGTTTCACCGTACCGAGCTTTTCGAAGAACACAACATTCTCGGGTTTTAAATCCCTGTGGACTACATGTAAACGATGACAGTACGATATGGCCCGAACTATCTGTCGAAAGTAAGTCCTGGCCACCTAACAAATAAGAAGTCAAGCATTACGACATATCATGTTTGTCTGTGCGCCTTTCGTAAGTGATAGTTGTAACACAAGACATTAAATCAACGTGTATACTTAGTACAAAAATATAGTATTTAAAAATGCCTGTCCAATTAATATTATTCTTATCAGCCTTATTTAGCCAAATTAATATTATTATTATTATATTTTTTGCATATTATTTTTTTTTATATGTATATGTAATTTATATTAGTGCTAAATTCGATATAACGGAAGCTTTTCTCCGAAAAGTTTCGGAGCTTTTCGTAAAATTCATAATAAATTTATGACAGTTTGCAAGAAAATTTACATTCAACAAACATTAACTTTAGTATTAGGGAGCTAAATCGGCGTCCTTTGTTCACGTTGTAATTGCGAGCCGATGGCATAATAAAACGACAATAGCCGCGCAGCACATAATACCTCTTCGCTGAGGCCGCTGTCGTGGCGCATGATGTAATCGTAGAGATCCCCGCCATCGCCGAACTCTAGAATTAGGTATAGCTTGGTCTGCGTGTCTATCACCTCGTATAGCCGGACTACATTGGGATGTTGCACCAGCTTCATGCACCGCACCTGCGACACAAACGACATGCGATAATAACGATGTAACTCAGAGAAATTCGTTTCGCTCAAGCGGACCTGAATCCGCAGGGGTCAACGATTCTGTCCGTCACATCCATTTGCTCATCACTATCTCTCTACCTTAACGAGATGCACCGCTATGATGTCTATCATGCGATGTAACTACGCGCGACTATTCGATCTGCCGGTTACTATCGAACCGGCCATCAAAATGACATTACGCGAAATCGGGATATCATCAATGGCTCTATCAGTTCCATTAGAACATCAAAGAGGCAGAAAGTAACTCTGGCCTGACGCGATTGCACGAGCCATGCAAGATGGAAACAAACAACGGTAGGAATGCCATTAGAGTTCTATCTGTTCATCGAATATCGCGAAATCGCGTTTGAGACAAGAAATAAATTTAAAACTAAGCGATTTAGCGTTTTATGTTGGAAGGCTCTATAGGAAAGAAAAAGGGAAGAAGGGGGGCGGAAAAAAGATACAAGACACAATTTGAATTCAGATGCCTTTTATGGACTTTTTTGCGGTTTCCTTTTTCCAATGTTCATTCAAGTCACCTTCGGTAAAGAAATGTTTTCTTTTATTCCTTTGAAAATGACTAAACGATTAAAATGGGTCGCCGAGGAATTTCGGGTATATCGCGATCGAACGGAAATTGACCATTTGATGAAAAGACCATTTGGCTATTTTCCTCACCTCCTGGCAGAGATGAGCCCTCGAGACCTCATCGAGCTTGCTCTTGTCGATCACCTTCACTGCGACCTTCTCACCGGTGAAAACATGCCGTGCCAGCTTCACCACGGCGAAGTGGCCGCGGCCAAGGGTCTCCTCCAGGTCGTAAAGCCCGGCGATCTTGCCATCGTAATTGCTGTATCCCACTCTTCGATTCATCTCGTGCAACTGCAAACACATTGCAAGCTTTCTCTTTATACGCAGCAGTGGAAAAAGACGTAATTCGTCACTTATTTATAACAATTATTAGGCACGATCAAGAAACAACCTGGAAATCTACGAATCAAACTTGATGTATTTAAGAGAAGAAGGGCCTGTTATCTCAGATGAAATTTCATTTTTTGGACGGATCATTTTCGAAAGAAATAGTTTTTATTAAAGTATTTAAAAATTTGATCGGAAAATAATATCGTTGAGCCATCAAAATAATTACGTGGCACGTTCAAATTGATTGTCAGAATATCAAATATTTTTGTATTATTATTATTCTGTTTAAAGCGTTCTACACAATTACTTTGATTTGGCCGAACAATATTTTCAAATTTATATCTGGCAAAATTTGTAGATACATATCTCAACAAAACCGTTTCTCCTGTATATAATAAATGTTTACCTTTCACTTACAATCTTCACCAATTTCTCGTAGCGTAAAATTACATACATTTAAGAAAGATTATCAAGCTGTATAAATAAAATAAGTAGCTTGTTTCATCAAGATAGATCTACGTTAACTGAACGCTTTTTCATATTTGCGAGTACTATGACCTGAAAATGTTCATCCATTTTTTTTTTTTAGAGCGCTCTTTCCGCATACTCGCGACTATGAAGATAACGTTGAATGAACGGGGTTTGAAATGTGATTGATCGTTTAGAAATATTCAACAACAGTCGCGTGAATCGCCGTTCGATCCACCCCGCGCGAGAAAGAGGTCACTATTATTTTTAGCGCTTAGTAGAAGCGATAATTAATCGCTTCGCCGTCCGTGCAGTTGCGATCGGCAACGGTAAAAAAAAGGTAGACTCGGTAGAATGACAGCGAGAGGAATTATCGCTTCGGAAAAATACGTGGCGGGAAGCTAATGGACCGTGCACGATGCACGTTTGACGCTAAATATAGTTATCCGATTCAAACTTTTACTCGCAAGCGGACGAAGTAGTTACCAGTCGCATCCAGAGTGCATGGCGGCGCGTAGAAATCGTGAAATAATCGATGGATTGATTTTTCCGCGGTGAATATCGGATTAGAAACTCCGGAGTAACTAGAGCGCGAGAATCTGTCGTTGTCCATCGATCGTATCGAGACACGGCCCGGCGAGATCGTTTATCGCTCACGATCGCTTCACTTTCCGAGAGATCGATGACCTTAAAAAAGAAAAAGAAAAAAAAAGAGAAGAAAAAAAGGAAAAAAAAAAAGAAACACGATGAACGCGCGCGATCTCGCTTCGGAGCGCTCACCTGCCCGCGCTCCTCTAGCTAGAATGAGGTAGCGCGATAATGCGGACGCGGGAGGAAGGGGGAAGAGGGGGAGAGGGGGCGAGAATTACACGATCAAATTTAGCGCCGGATGGGAATAGGAGCCAATGTTGCTGCCGAGGGAACGCATTGTCTTCGCCGGAACGTAATTGCGAAACGCGCCGCTTACGACGCGTCGCGACACGAGGCGATTTGTCAGCGCGCGGATCTCGGACGATGCATTCCGCCTCCCTCCACCTCGAGCCTTGCTCCTTTTCTTATCGACTGTATGCGCAATGCGCGATTTTGTCTTCCCGTAATTAGTTTGATAAATATTTATCCTTATCTCACATGTGTCTTATCTCGGGGATACCCGAAGGGATTCCCTCTCCGGGATAAATTAATAATGCTCTCGTTCCCTTCTCTGTACATATACGGCATATGAGGATACAATAATGCGACATCGAGTTGCGAAAATCTGGAGACACCCACGGTTTTCCTTTGGGACCCCCCCCCCCCACAAAGGAGTCTCTCACTTCCGTCGTCCGCCGTGCGGAACGCGGCCACGCGCGTGCTGCGAATCATTTCCTCGCCGCGCGTGCTTCGGATACTCTTAACGAGGATTACGAAGAACGCAAAAATAAACGCTTCTCGAGCGACGCGGGGAAGGTACCAATAAGGAGACGAACCGCTTCGGGTCGAGTTCGCAAGTTACGTCAAAATTTCTTCTCGGAAAACGCCACGCCGAAAGTCCTCTCCGGTCAGCTCTATGAAAACAGATCGGATTAATGCCTTAACGATCGAATCGTCCGCGCTTGCCGTGCAATTTATAGCGAACGCTGACGCAAGACTGACATTCACTCGCCGAGGTTTACGGCTTTTATTTCACGCAAACGCGTCCATTGCCTATGTCGCGATATAAATAAGACACGAGTATTCTCTCCCATTCTCGCCGGCGTTATTATTATCGACGAGCGATTCCCTGCACCGCCGTCCATTGTTAAGATAATAAATTATCTGGCGCAACGTATTAATCCATTAAGGCAAATCGACGCGCTCGTCTCGTGCGTGCCGATTTATTGATAGATATCAAAAAATCCATGCGACAACAAACGTTTGTCGTGCGCCGAGATAACGCGTGATCGATCGCACGCCTTTCGGAAGCGGATTCAATTAAAATAAATCACAAGCGCGGACGTCACGCCGTGTTTGATTTTTTTACATCGATACGTGAAAAATTAATCGCCGTTACGTAATCGTAATTGGTGTCATTACGGCCCGGAAAGTAACGCGATTACCGCGAGCGCGTGAAGGTTCCACGAATTTTATCTCCTCTACTTATCGCATAATGCAATTAACAAGCAATTTGACTGACACGATTATCTCAATTTCATCATTTCATATCTGTAGATCGTCGAATATCTAAATAATAAATAACAAATATTAGAATTTGCTAAGTCAGGGATTCTTAAAATATCACCTGTGCTTTGGAGAATTACGCTGATCCTGGGAAAATACAGATGTTTTGCACAGAACGACACAAATAATATAGAAAAATGATACCGAGCGAAAAGAAAACAAGTAAAACGTTACACTATCAAATAACGCTACGCAAGGCTTGAAATATAAAAGTGTAATAAAATGTGATATAATTTATTTACAATTATAATATATAATTAAAATATATAAATTCATAATTGTCATATTTTCTCTACTCGTAGATTAATTTTTAATATTTTTATTTTTTAATATCCGCATTAATAAGATCTCTTTATTTATAAATATTAATTGCATTTCGCATTTTTCCCGGTATTACGGATCCCAGATCGTTTTTTTATAATTGTTATCTCGAGCGGCGATATATCGATTCTGGATATTCAGGGCGTTTGGCTATCCGCGGTAATTTTCCACATGATGATTTTCCACAAAAAAAACGGGGGGGGGAGGCTTCACGAATCATCCTTTATCCATTCGGATCCATCACGTCCCGGCGAATTGAATTTGACATTTAACCGATAACGACTCGTCCTCTGTTATCAAGATCTACCTGTGCGCAGGCACGTCCCATAATGTCGACTTGACCTGCTTTTACTGCACGTGTCCGTGTAATAATGAGATGCAGGAGCGTCAGTTACACGTAATAAGTTTAACGATTCCTTGAGATGAGCGTCTGAGAGACGCGCTTCACATCAATCGGCGAAATGTCAAGCGACATATCGCCGTCGCCAATTTTTATACCTCGCGACGAGTCCCCTTAAAAAGTGCGAAAGTTATCGGATCCCGTTATCCCGGGATCCGTCAGGCCAGCCAACAAGAAAATTACACCGAGCCGAGATGGCAAAATGAATATCTCACGCAAGATCGCTTTCTTAATATCAGAGTCAATATTTTAAGCTGCTCGCGTAATAATACGTAATTTTGCGCGGAATAACGCGCGGAGAGACGCGCGGAGAGAATTTTCCGCGACGATGGGATTTTCCCGAAGATATATACGTACGTAGTCCACGAGCAGCCGGAGTCCCGTCGAACGGAACGGAAACTTCGCGCTTAGAAAGTATAATTCGTTTCGATGAGCGTAGCGCCGTGTGGACCCGCATTTGAAATTTAGATCGCGCCGCGCGTTCTCCGCGCGCGTGAACTGCGTTTCCCGGATGCTAGATCGTAAACGGAGCGTCGGAACACTTTCGGAACACTTTCGCGCTCGCGCGAACGCGGAAGTCGCGAATTAGCTTCGAGACTTTGTGCTCGTGCATACGACGCCGGTCGAATTTTCAAGATCCGCAATGAAGTGGATCGGGGAGACCGGGAGGGGGGGAGGGGGGTGGAAGGGGAGAATAAATCGTCGGTATTAGCCGTTAGTAGGAAATGATAGGCGTATCGTTGAAACTTGATGTTACAGAAAGGTCAACAACGTGCCAACGCGGCCAACGACTGTCGACTGACCACTATCCGGGAAATCGAGTACCG